CAAAGTAAGCAACACTGCACACACGTATGTGCGTAAAGGGCTTACAAAAGCGGTTATTGACTTAGTACCGCATATATTTTGACCTTAATTAGCAAACTAAATGTTACTTTGTCTATATTATTATACGGTAATTCCTTTGTGCTTTGAAAATTAAAAAAAAAAGTAATATACATTTTTTTTAATGGTGAAAATGGAATGATAACCCCGCCCGCGCTATCGGTATACACCGACGAGGCACCAGTGGACGATGATAGGTGAGAATGAGTGCAGGTCAGTTGGCCCACCATGATGAATTCGACAAGAATTAAACATGATGGTTTCCAGGGGGAACCGCGTGGAGGTCGACCTGAGAGGGTATATTACTAGCACCATTGCTGTGTCATTACTAACAATCCCTTTCTCCCATTATACATTTTAATGCGTATAAAAATAATATTGCGCGCTAGTGATTCAAAGCCATTGTATATAATATTGTCTGATAGTCGATTATATTTTAATGTAATTCTATTATAATTAAGTAGTTATTCATCCTTGCTTAATATATAAATTCTGGGGGAAAAGGGATTGTTAGTAATGACTTGTTAGAAGACTGAGAATCCCATTGCCAGCAATATACTCAACCAGGTCGACCTCCACGCGGTTCCCACTGGAAACTATCATGGTTAATTCCTGATGAATTCATCATGATGGGCTAACTGGCCTGTTTTCATTCTCATCTATCACCCTTTACTGGTGCTCCGCCAGCGTATCCCGTTAATGCAGGCGGGGTTACCATACCATTTTCACCCATCAAAAATATATATATATAAATTCTAAAGTCTACTTGTTTGTTATCTCTTTATTTTCTCCCGTAGACGCTCGGGTTGTGAAATGAGCTCCCTTTTGAGGTTTTCCCAAGAGACTACAGTATGGTGTTTCGCAAATAAATTATATTAAGGAACAACGTTTCGTCAACTAATTGTCAAATTAGCCGACTCGATTTTTTTATCAGTGTCCTATACACTTACGCATAAAATGTATCTTTAGAATAGAATAGAATAGAAACATTTATTGCCATACAATTACAATATAAAATATCAATAACATATACAAAAAGTGTCCCATACTCGGCAAAAGGAACCGGCTCAGCTGATGCTGTCAGTGTCCAAGCGCAATGTGAACAGCTGCACAGCGCTGGTTTTCAGCCAGTCCCTCTCTTAACAAAACAACCAAAGTGCAGGGTGCCACTGTACATTACTTCTTACAAGAATTATTTCTCAAATATACTAACTACAAAAAAAAAAATATATATATATATATATATATATATATATATATATATATATATATATATATATATATATATATATATATATATATATATATCTTGACGTATTATTTAATAAATAAAATAAGTGTCTAATCGTACGCATTAAAAAAATGCAGAAATTATAAGACAAAATAAATATAGAAGTTATAAAAAAAACACACTCATAACTATTTATTACGAAAATTTCTATGAAAATAGTTGAGCCGTTTTTCTCGCAGCTTTTCTATGGGGAAACACTATTTATATAAGCTAAGAATAATACTTTCTATTTGTATCCAAATTTCAATAGACAACTGCTAGTGTGGCATATACAAAGCCGGTCACTACTTACGTACACCCATACATTTTACATGTCCCGCTTGCAAATCTACAAGGGACCCTGGGGTCTGATAGATACGGCCCCATTTGTCTTCGTTAGGCCCCAACATGCCGCTCTCGTCGAGGCAAGAAGTGCCCCGCCTATAAAACATGTAGTGTGTTATTCGAGTACAATAGTCACTCGACTAGTTATATTTTTTTTTTATGGAATGAAAATGGAATGGTGCACTTGTTCTGTTGATATACGCTGGCGATGTACCAGTGAGGGGATGATAATTGAGAATGACGTCATCATCATCGCCATCTCGGCCATTATTTGTCTACTGCTTAACGTAAACTTCCCCTATAGACTGCCACAAGGAACGGTCTTGAGCCACCTGCATCCACTGACTCCCTGCAGTGTATATGAGGTCCTCACTTAATCTAGCGGGGAGTTGTCTTACACTGTCAGCCAGTCAGGGAGTCAATGAATGCAGATGGTTTAGGATAGAACTTAGAATGGCAAACAAGCTGACGGTCCACCTGATGGAAAGTGGTAACCGTCGACTACAGACATGAGCGGTACCATGGACATAACAGAGTATACTGTTTCGCCCATGATACCGCCCATGCGTTACCATTCCTGAGGACTCAGACGGTATTCCTCTGTACTCTGTAAATTCACGCCATATCCCACCCTTCAAACTGAAACACAGCCATGCAAACACAACTGCTTCACGGTTGAAACACGAATGGGACAGAGGTAAATAATATAGAGGTAATAAAAAGCAATCGACTTTAGTACAAAATCTCGAAAAATGCATTTTTAAATCGCCATCGCATATCTCTGCACATCTTAAAGGTTAACTGGTAGAGAACGCCTATAGCATTAAGTTCGCCTTTTGTACTACATTTTATAGGTCAATAAAATTTAAATAAATAAATAAATAAAATAAATTCTTATTCTTCAAACCGAAATACAGCCACGAAAACACATTTTTTTTATATAAAAAAATATAATTACCTGGTGACAGAAATACGAGCGAAACAGGGATACTCATGCTAACTTTGACAGTCCCCCTCTACTATTCGTATATTCAAAATGCTCTTCCATGGAAACCGAGCGGTATCTTATGTATGCATTATTTAAAACAGAACTGTTTCACCGATGAATTCGTGCTGATTTATACTGTTTATATAGAAAGATCGCGGAATACGATCCTTCGTACCGGATTGTTAGGGCGTGACCACAATAAACTATTTTTATTTGCGACCCGCGACAAATCGCAACTATTCGAATTTTCATTGCGATAAAATACGTAAGAGTAAAGACTGAAAGTCGATATCTTGTTTATGTAAATCGAATACTTAAAGACTTCGTTACGGGAGACGTATTTATGCTAAATAGCTAGCTTACAGCAATAGATAGGTTGGTATTGATACTTTTATTTCTTAACAGCTTCTTTATTTAGTTGTGGCTACATCGAATTACAAAATACAAATTGTTAGTTCGAATTTGATTTACTTTTAAACATATCAGTTTTCGACTAGACGATAAATCGTACATATAAGATAAATACATGTAAATTTTATTTCATAAAGAAACACCGACTTCATTTGTGTCAATATCAGTTGTTTTGATTTAAAAATCAAACTACTAAATCAATTTTGATTAAGCTTCTATGGAACCAATCTAAAAGTATATCTTATCAATTAAACAAATAATTTTTCAAATCTGTTTATAAATAAAAGAGTTCTTAGGTAACAAACATAAAAAAATACCTTTTTTTGAAGTCCGTTAAAAATGTATCCTGCTATGAGAACTAAACAAAATAAACAATAAAGTCGAATGTTTCGCTATCAGAACTCTCCTAATAACTTTCACGAACGTGATGTGCATACACAGATATGCACAATTTATAAAAACTACTGTTCATATGCTAATCTCGGATAGTTGGTGGTATTTTACTGACCATTACGTTGTAGTAAGCGCATGAATGTACTATCGTACGTTTTCCGAATATTCAACATGTCTTGCTGTAGCTAGAATAAGCCAACTTATCTTAGATTAATAAAGTTAGTTTCTGATATTTGTTAATGCGAGAATTAGGCAAAGAAAATTTCAAAGTTGTACATTTGAGTTGATTTTGCCCTGAGCTAATTAACCAATTCAACACGATTGCCTCATAAAACATACATATAATTTACATATACATAATTTAAATATTTACAAAAGAATTCATTTATACATATATTTTTATATAATAGCTCGACATGTGATAGTACAATAAATAGACATAGAAGCTAGATATACAAGGCTTTTGCGACTGTGGAGCCTAAAACGATGTCTCCTCTCCTGTTTTGTCCTTTATTTCCTTTACCCTACACGACAGAGGACCTGAATGAAATAACCGATTACACTATGGAAGAAGGAAATTAAATTCTAATCCAAATATATTTAAATTTTAGGGATATTAAATAAGTAATGCATAAATTGATTACTATTTTTGATATCGAAAAATATTACTTATTTTATACAACTTTAAAATATCATTAAAAAAAATCGCATAAACATTCATATTTGATATGAACGCGCCTTTGTCAAAGTTGAAAGAGCGGACATTTGTTACTGGATCCCGGGCTGCGGTAACAAATTGGCCACTTATGTCAGCCAAACAGAAGTTCGCGGAACTTGCGGCCATTTTCGTAAAGAAAACTCTGAGTCGATACTATACGATACATGTACTCAGCCGCTGGATGCTTCTTTCTTCATCTTTGAATGGAAGAATAGAAATGGAAGAATAGTTCTTGAGTACTAATATAATAAAATCGTAACTTGACGATGTCGGTACATGGGAGATATTTAAGAGAAAAATAGACACGAGAAGAAGTCATTAAAAGATATAGAAACAAAAACAATATTTTTATACTTATGCAACTTAGAATGGCAAACAAGCTGACGGCCCACCTGATGGAAAGTGGTAACCGTCGCTTACAGACATGAGCAGTACCAAGAACATAACAGTGTACGAGTATACTGTTTCGCCCATGATACCCCCCATGCGTTGCCATTCCTGAAGACTCAGGTGTTATTCCTCTGTACCCAGTTGATTCACTCCATATCCCACCCTTCAAATCGAAACACAGCCATGCAAACACAACTGCTTCACGGTAGAAACACGAATAGGACAGAGATACCTAAACAAACAAATTTTGTTCAAAGTCTCCTTCTGGTAAAATATTAAATTTGGTTTAATTAAAAAGTTAGCGTAAACCGATAGCAAACAGCTTTCTTACATGTAAATCATAAGCGATAATTTAAAAAGAAGTCTACATATTTTTAATCTAAGATTTTCAAAAGTCACTTTTGAACTGTAAATGTGTTTGTCCCCAGGACCTACAGTCGGAGATCGAGACCCACCGCGATGTGTACGCGTCGCTCACGGGCACGGGCCGGCGGCTGCTCGGCTCGCTGTCGTCGCAAGAGGACGCTGTCATGCTGCAGAGGCGGCTCGACGAGATGAACCAGCGGTGGCACCACTTGAAGGCCAAGAGTATGGCTATAAGGTCAGTCTATTATAGTATTTGATTACATCATCATCATCATATAAGCCGTTGACTGTCCACTGCTGAACTGCTGGAGGAAGTCTATCCTCGTAAAGCAGGTAATGGAATGGTAACCCCAACTACACTAACGATATACGCTGGCGAAGCGCCAGTGAGTGATGATAGACAGATAATGAAAAGGCAGGTCAGTCAGCTCATCGTGATGAATAAATCTGGAATTTAGCACAATGTTTTCAGGGGAACCACGTGAAGGTCGACCTGATAGGATATTTTTTTTTAATGGGTGATAATGAAATGGTACCTAACCCCACCCGCGCTATCGGTATACACCAGCAGGGCACCAGTGAAGGATGATAGATGAGGATGAAGCAGGTCAGTTAGTCCATCGTGATGAATTGAACAAGAATTGTTCACGATGGTTTCCAGGAGGAACCACGTAGAGGTCGACCTATTATTATATATATTGCTAGCAATCGGACTGTCAAACTCCATTGTTAACAATCCCTTTCCCCCCGATAGGATATATTGCTAGTAACGAGACTGGTAGTACTACTTAGTAACAACAGCGATTGCGTCAGGACCATAACTAGACCTAAATTTAAGGTAGGGTAAAAGAACATTTTAGTAGAGCACAAGCTATGATTAAGTAACTTCGAAAAAGTGAATCTATCTAATTTTTTTGGGAACTTTCATTTTAAGGTAGGGCATTCGGCCTTTTAAAGTAGGGCATTGAGCCTTTTAAGGTAGAGCATTCGGCCTTTTTAGGTAGGGCATTGCCCTCCAATGCTCCTCCCTAGCTACAGCCATGAATTGCGCCTATGTCGATTACTATCGACCGCACCTGTTCGGTTTGAAGGGTGGGATATGGCGTGAATTTACAGAGTACAGAGGAATAACACCTGAGTCCTCAGGAATGGCAACGCATAGGGGGTATCATGGGCGAAACAGTACTGCTCATGTCTATAGGCGACGGTTACCACTTTCCATCAGGTGGGCCATCAGCTTGTTTGCCATTCTAAGTTGTATAAAAAAAACCTGTATTGCTCAGTTTGCTCCCACTAATGAGGCTATATCCTTGCTTGCCAATTCTTTGATTGTTCAGCAGCCAGATATTGATATTTTTAATGGCAAATCAGATAGATTTTCTAAATGTTAGTTAAAATACGTAAGTTTGTAAAATGAACTAGGCACACTACATGTTTTGCGAAACTGTGAGTGAGTAAGCAATTTATAAAATAACAAAATTTCTATATTGGAAGAAAATCTTAAAGATTACAACAATTGTATAAAACGGTGCAGAATAGGCGACATAATTGTATGAGATAGTCACAAAAAAAAATCAAAAGATTAGAAATTCTATTTTGAAATGAGAAACAACCGTATCTGATTGTTTTCAGGGTGTTTTTGGAAAACTGCGTTCCTTCTAGATATTACGATCTATGTTCAGAATATCTATGCTTACTAGGTGTATATATATATATATATATCGTGTAAGGCAGTCTGTGCAAATCGATTCAAATTAGTTAACTGCAGTGACGGTAAACGGTAATGCAATTACGGTCACCGTCCTGCTACACCTACCAACGTAATTGCCGATCTTGGGGTAAGTCTGTTAATCGGTTAATCGACTGTTAGTCATTTTAACTATTGTAATAGATACGTATATTTGAACTGAACTGGAAAAATGTATACATTTTATTCCATATAATATACGGATATATATGGAATATAGAAACATCCTTTTTTGAATTCGGTTAAAAACTATGAAGTAACCTAAGTACTATTGGTAAACGATGCGATGTTATATAGACGCAACTACATAATAATTTGTGTATTATGTTATTGTTAAAATGTGGCTATGGTAACCGCTTACCATCAGGTTGGTCGTATGCTTGTTTGTTACCTCAGTAGTATAAAAAATGTAGACGAATAAATAATGGAGCAAATAGATAATTAAATTAGCATTTATGTATAAAAATAATAACAATAATGTAACAAAAATTAAAATTAAATACCAAACGTTTGCGTGCAAATGTTACATCTTGTGTCTTATGTTTCCAATTATAATATAAATAAACAAACAAACGAACGAACGGACTAACATACAAATAAATACATACATTGAAAATATTTGAATTTACAACGTGAAGTCATATGTCTAAAATTAGAGTTTACTTCCAAACAAGCAATTTTACTTATATATATATTCTTTATTGTACTTGTAAGTTACATATAAAAATTTTTACTCCACAAAAAAAAACAGCAACTTCAATATTGTCAGTATAATATAATATGATGTTTGAATGATTTTATAGTTTGTGTGTCACTTACTGCAATATGTAATGATAGCTATAAATAAAACTAGCAATATTTAACTGTTATTTTGTTATTCATGTTTTAACAAAGTAAATTGCTGCATGTATCGGAACGTACATTTTTAAACGTCGCTCCCGTATGACGGATGGTCGGTTGGCGGGAAAAAAATATTGGGATAAACCGTTTCTGCATGATTGCAATTTTTACTAACAAGGATGGATGACATTGTTTCTAGTTCACTTATTAATATTGGTTGTACCTCACGGCTGTTCCCGCGAGCATATGCGATAACTATCTATACATAATAATAATAATATCACATATATAATCTATATTAATCTAGAATTATCAAGTTCATGTATAAATGCTCTGAGGAATTGTTCGGATTGATACCTGCTGCTGATTTTCACCATCGTACTACCTGCCATAAACTAAAATTTCATCCCAACCATCTAGACGAGTGGCGGTCCTCCACCGTGCGTTTTTCAAGGCAACCACTCTTCGGAATCAACTTCCAGCAGCAGTATTTTCGAATCGATACGACAACATAACCTTCAACATAAGAGCATATTCCTTTATAAAAGGCCGGCAGCACACCTGCAATGCCTTTAGTGTTGTGAGTGATCATAGGCGGCGGTAGTCACTTACCACCAGGTGAGCCGCAAGCTCGTTTCCCCCTGTGTCGTAAAAAAAATAGGGCTGTCATCCGTCCGGGTTTCCCCGGATTTGTCCTAGTTTGGAAGACGTCCGGGGAATAAACGAGGGGAGTACGTAAACTGTAGTCCGAGTGCAACCCGAACTACAATAAAAGTCCGAGTTTTCGATCAGATCCGTTCCCATAATTTCTGTAAATAAAAACTAGGTGTTCCACTGCACGCGCTGCCGACGCTATTTTATTACGTGTATTTAAAAACGCGTTAGTAAATTTAACAATAAGCTGACAAAAAATTGGCCCGTTTTTGAGGCTCGATACTCTCTCTATCTATATAATCTAAGTAAATAAATAAATAAATAAACATATATCAGTAAAAACCAATATATGTGCCAGTGGATCTACTATGAAATCGAATTCTGAATTTTTGGACCCAAATTTCGTAAGTATTGTGAACTACCAGAGGGAGACTTTGTACAAAAGTCGATTGCTTGGATACCTCTGTCTCATTCGTGTTTGCATGACTGTGTTTCGGTTTGAAGAGTGAGATATGGCGTGAATTTACTGGGTACAGAGGAATAACACCTGAGTCCTCAGGAATGGCAACGCATGGGGGGTATCATGGGCGAAACAGTATACTCTGTTATGCCCATGGTACTGCTCATGTCTATAGGCGACGGTTACCACTTTCCATCAGGTGCGCCGTCAGCTTGTTTGCCATTCTAAGTTGTATAAAAAAAAACTACGTTCCTATCGAAGTTAATATCATATTAGTGACCATCATTCTTATAAATTGTATGAGCCAACAAAATTTTAGGTACAATTTTGACGGTTTTAATTCCATTATTCGTCATCATCATACCAGCCTTTAACTATCCACTGCTGAACAGCCTCCACCTTGGGGGAGTTTTGCCAGTAGTTGCCACGCTTGGCAGGCGGATTGGCAATCGCAGTCAGACTTTAGAGATGTTTTAAGAAGGACGCTACTGCCCATCCCTCGCCCTCCCTTAGTCGGCTCTTACGACACCTACAGGAAAGGAAGGGGTGGCCAATTCTATGCCGGGACCACACGGCACTAGTTCCATTATTTTTAACATCAAATTCGTTCGTTTTTCTATTTTTGAAATAACTTACATGATAGGCAAACTCATAGATCTTAATTTTTTTCTATTTAATTTCTCAAATCAAATTTTTTTGCAAAAACATGGATAGACAAATTACATAGTTGTTAATCGCATACAATTTTTAGTTACAACTATGTTTTGCCTCTCATGGCATACATGCTTATTGTTGAGAAAGCAATCCACACATTTCTTAATATGGCAACTTTATTAGTTTACGTTTGATGTATGTAGAGTGATGCTCTCTGGTTGCTGTCTGGTAATTGTAACAAAAGAAATCTATTGCCTCTAATACATTGTGTAACTTAAAAATATTAATAAATATATAAATATGCATAATGTGTTTAAATATAACAATAAATATTCTGCTAAATTACTTCAAAATAATACTTATACATCTAAACCCGTACATTATTAAAGAGATTCCTTGCTAATCGATTGTGGACGCTTCAATTTTGAGCATAGCGTTTTCTACACAACAATTTGAGCATGTTGTTACTCAGGAAACGTATTTATCCTGAAGGCATGAAATAAAACACGGCTGTTAAGCGTAATTTATAGGTAAGTACATATAAAAACGCGCACTCCACCGTGAAGCGTCCGTGAATTTATTGTGTAGAACCAATGTATTGAGAAATAATTTAGTTTCGACCACTGTTTTAAATAGTAGTTATATTCATTTATTTTAACATTTATTATATAACTAGGTAGGTATTATTTGTATTTATAGTGTATGTATTTATGTAATATTTTATTATATATTTTAATATTTTATTTAACTGTATATTTGTTTATGTATTAATAGTTGTAGCACTTCAGCTGCCCGCTAACGAAATGCTTTCTCACTGTACTGGGTTGACTGGAAGAGATCTCTGTCAGAGATAAGTCCAGCCTTGCTCACAACATTTATA